AAAGCGAAAAAGGCAAATAACGAGCAAAGCAAAAAATATTTACTGTATTCATTGTAAAATCAAAGCATAATCACGTAATGATGAGGATCATTAGGCTACAGCCCCCAATTACCACTAGCAAAGAAAAAGCCTCTTTCCAATTTTGTAGTTTATTGAGAATAGTTACACGTTTCAGGCAAGTTTTGGGGGGTGTGAGGAGAAAGATAATAATACCTTTTTTGTTGATGCATTTTATTTCCAGCCTTTACAGGATGGTAGACAGATAGAAAAACCTCTAGAAAAATCTCACCTTCCAAACCTACCTTTAGCATTGCTCCCACCCATTTGGGGTAAGTTGGGTGGGAGCAATATTAAAGGAAGAAGAAATAGTATGAAAAAATATGGTAAAAGGGGATTCTGAGACCCATATCCATCGAATGTCTATGAATAACAACCATACAATTGTGAGGAAGGCAATCCCAGTTTGGAATTGCTCATGACAAATCATGTTAATCTCAATAGGGATACAAATCTTTCTCAGTAGTATTAGTGAATATTTTTGAGTCCTCAGAAGTCTCCCCATCGCTGAAATCAACCGAATCATCCGAAGGGACATAAACCTCATCAACCTAAGGTTGGGAACTACTAGCACTTAGAGACTTTGGTTAGCCCCAAAAGTGGAGGGATTCATCACAGAATAAAGCTGCACTTCAATGCCTTTGAGATCTTTTAGAAGAGAAATGTATACCAGAAAAGGAGGATATAAGTTAGAGCTTTTAACTTCAGAATCTTATGATAATTTTCGAGAATCCCTCTGAGAGACATGATAACAAAGACAATTGTGAGGATTAAATGAAGAAAGAATGTGTACCTATGGAAAAACTTTAAAAAAAAGTAAAATCGCTAAAAGAAAAGATGACTAGCATGAAAATGGCAAAGTGATGTGATCCAAGAGTCAAGCTCAAAGAAGGCAAGTGCGGAACCGAGATCCATTGATAATTGAAGGCGGACCAATGACGCGATCGAGGGCGAAGTGAGTGAAGCAAACGATGGGATTGTTCATTCAAGAAACAATTGATAAAAAATCGTTCGGGACACAAAATGAGGCAACTTTTATGTTCGGATCGAGAGTCGAATCAAAGTAGATCAATTCAATACAAGCAAACAAAGTCAGAGGCTACCACAACTTTATGGTTGTAAACCTAAGTACATGTTGTCTCAAGTAGTAAACTCGAAAGTTCGAGGTAGAATCACAGGGAAATGGAAGAAAATAAACTATTCTATGAATAGTGAATAGTTGGTGGAAATACGATGAAGAAGATCACTAGAGCGTTGGGGATTCACTTTGGATAAATGAGTAAAAATTACTCTTAATCTTTTATTTAACTCATATGAAAATCAACTAGAGAATGATCTCATATGGAAGATAGAACATTTATCACAAATATACTAAAAGATAGTTCTTGATAATTGTTTGAAAGAATGTCTCAAAATAAGTTGTTGGTATGTACACATTATCTAAGCATTTATGGTGCCAAAATTGTCAGCAATAAATCAAAGTCTTTAACAAACCAAAATCATTTATACAACATATAATTTAACCAAATAAGAAGATGAACATTGAAGAACAATGTGAAAGATCAAAGACAATACTATATATTTACAAAAGTTTTACCCCTAGCTCTAGCTAAAGTTTTAGAAATACGTGATGAAATGTTATAAAGAAAATGAAGAAAACTAGAATACGATGAAGAGAAATTGTTGCTCTCAAAATCTTAGCCAATGTCCCCTTTTATAGGCAAAGGAACATCCAATATGAAAGTGGACAATGCAACTTGTTTCTATCCACCTTCAAAGCAATTGGAATGTACAAATTGATACAAATTTTCAGATACTTTGTACAGTGAATATGGACTTTTGATCAACTGATAAGTTGTTTCCATTTGAGTCATCTTTCCATTGGTTAAATTTCAGGTCTATTGGATCACTAAATCTCTAGATATGGCCAAAACAATTAGTGATGCTCACAGGTAGAAAAGTTGTATCCAGCTAGTAACAACTTGGATCTTTCACGGTAATGTTAGCTTCCTATGCTGAGAATTTGACTCCTTTCAAAACATGAAAGTTATAGATATATATCTTATCTTTCCAACCCAACTTCAGACACCTTGGTTCGATATCTACAACTCAAGTTATGACTATTTTACCAAGACAGCTGCATCTTGCACGAGACAGCTCATCATTCTTGACTTTTCAATATTTTTTCCTCCACTTGCTCCACTTGTTTTACATTGAAAATACATGTGAAATACATCAAATAAATACTCTTTCAAAAGTATATTACTCATGCCGACGTGAATTTAATTATGTATTTCAATTAATTGTATTTTTAACTTGTATTTATGGAAATTGAATTTACGACAAGAGAATTGAAATTAGAGACTAACATTAGTGATTTTAAACAAAGTAAATGTAAAACGCCTTGTAAATGATGTATCTTTGAAGTACTTTTAGGCACTAATCACACTCCCCAATCAAGATATTGCTAGTCTCTAGCAATAAAAATTCAAAATAGTTCAAATAAAATAGCTTGTCGCACTTGTCTCAGGATTTGAAACTGCTTAACAAAATGCTTCTAAGGTTTGCTATCAAAACATAGTCTAACTTGTCCAATGCTTGACCAACGTGTGTGTGCATAATCAATTCAATCGCATACTTTTTCAAATTGGACTCATCCCGACCCTCGATGGTTAATTATTTCTCTCCTCTCGTGGGATGCACACCCTCAAACTTGATTTTGTAACTATTTTCCCAAGATGTGATTTAAGGTTAAATTCATATACTATTACTCACCCTCTCTAGTTTGGTTAGATTTTACTAATTGTGGCTCAACACATCAATAAATAAGGATTATCCTTATTTTTGATTGATTCAACCTCCAAGAATCAACTAAACTACTAATCCCTTACCAAAGGTCTAATTCTCTAAAATAAGTGTTTGAGATTAATCAAGGCATATAGTGCATCTTTTGTTTTATGCACCAACTTTTTTTTCAAGTTTGCAGTGTGTATTCTGTTTCATGCACTAGCTTGATCTCTTTATATATATAATGGTCCTTATTGGGATATTTTAGGGTAGTTTCACAACATGACTGCTTTTTCCCTTTTATGTAATGATTAGTGCAATGTCCCTCATTAAACATCCATTCTCGAAAATCGATCTTTAACTTAAGATTCTCACCCAATTATCATCTCATTGGTCTTAAACAATCCACACAAAATTTAGCACACATGGAATCCACATCTATCTTGATGTCTCCCTACAAAAGTTCAACCATCCCAAACTATCCTAGAATTGGTTTAGTAGAATTTTTATTTTTACTTATTTTTATTTTTTTGGGTCATAGTTAATTCTACCTATTCTACCTATTGATCCAATCTAAATAATATGTGATTCTCATAATTATTGTGCTCAATGTAAATCAATCTAACATGAACAAGCTACAACTTAATTAAAGCGGCATCCCCTAGTCACAATTCATAATATAAAAACAATTTCAAATAATATTATCATCTGTTGGCAATGCTATTTTTTTTTTAACTTTTTGATTCCCCCCCCCCCCCCCCCCCCCCCCCTCTTTTTTTTTTTCACTTTTCACAACAT